CTCCCCGCCCCTGCCCCCCCTCCCAAAGGTGCCTCATCATCGGCACCATGGACGGCGCCAACGTGGAGATCGCGGAGGAGATTGGCCCCGACAACATGTTCATCTTCGGGGCCAGCGCAGACCAGGTTTGTGGGGGGGCCTTATGGGGGGTGGGCCGCCCCCGAGGGCCACGCGGGGGCTAGCCCGCAGGGGCGGGGCCCGGCAGCGATCATGCATGGTGTCGGGGCCCAGCATAGACCAGGGTTTGGAGGGGGGGCCCCTAGGGAACTGGGGAGGCTGCCACGGGCCCCTGTGGTGGCCAACAAAGGGGGGGGGGCGCATCGGGGAGCTGGCTGGCCAAGCTGGCGCCGGCAGCGCCAGGGCCTTAGCGCCCCGCCAGCTGAAGTTGGGAAGGGAGGCGCCCTCCGCACGGCCCCCTCCGGGCGGCCAAGACGCGTGGCCCCGCTGCTGACGACCTGCCCGCCCTGCCCCATCCCGGGCGTGCGCGCCGCGTGCCGCGCGCAGGTGCCGCGGCTGCGCGCCGAGCGGCGGTCGTTCCAGCCTGACCCGCGCTACAACCACGTGGTGCAGCTGGTCCGCAGCGGGCTGTTCGGCTGGTGAGGGGGTGTTGGGGGCTGGTGCGCGCGGAGTTGTTAGTTTGTTGGAAGTTTGGGGGGGGAGTTTCATCGGCAGCCTCTGGGCAGGGGGAGGGGCTGCACCGCTGAGTTCGATGCGATGATGCCGGGGCGACCGCTGTCTGGTCGGGAGGTGGGGGAGGCGCTGCGAGGCGGGCGCATTTGGGGGAGGCCGCCGGAATTGCTGCGAGGAGTGCGGCAGACGGAGTGTCGCGTCACTGGACAGCCGACCCTGCTGCCGCATCCCCACCCCGACCCAGCCTCACCCACCTGCCTCACGCACCTCGCCCACCTCACCTAACCCACTCGCCCCGCCAGGGAGGACTACTTTGCGCCGGTGATGGACGCCATCACCACCGGTGAGAGGCGCAACCCGCCAAGGATGCCCACCGGGGGGGGATGCTGCAGCGGGGACCACGCGCGGGGTCGACGGCCCCTCTCTGGGTGCAGGAAATACGTGTCTTTCCCAGCACAAGCACGTGTACATGTGCACACACGCGTGCACACACACACACACACACACACACACGCACGCACACACACACGCACGCACACACACACAAATCCACACACAGTCAAGCACTAAACTAACACCCGCTTACACCATCACGCAAACTAAACACACCCGCCCCCCCCCCCCCAAAAAAAAAACCAAGGTGGTGACTACTACCTGCTGGCCAACGACTTCCCCTCCTACCTGGAGGCCCAGGCCCGCGTCGACAGGGACTACAAGGACCAGACAGAGTGGACGCGCAAGAGCATCCTCTCGGTCGCGGGCTCGGGTGCGCTGGGG